TTTTTTTGGGTACAACATCAATGTAGCTAATGGACGATTCCTTGGTTTTTGTTTTAATGTTCTTAGGAAAAAACTTATAACTTGATTATGTTTGCAAAAGTTTACTCAATCTTTCCTTTTTCATAATCTAATGATAGTTTGAATTTTATATGAAAGAAAAATAAGGGAAAAAATAAAACAAAGTTTAAGTTGTTGGAATCAACTAGAAGTCAGTAAAATGTACATAAAAAATAAACAAAAGAAGAAAACATTTTTATTCAGCCAATAAAATGTCTATATAACAACTAGTAGTCAATAAAAAGTACATAAAAAAATAAATAAAAGAAGAAACAAATTTTATACAGCTAATAAGACATCTACATAACAACTTGAGACCACAATTTTTGATATAAAAATAAAAGAAAAAAAATGAAGAACTTAGTGAAGGTACCTTACCCCATAATTTCCTATAGGTTTAGCAAATATTTTCCCCACATGGCACTGCCTAGATATTACCTAATAAAGGAATCTCAACAATCAGACATGACACTTACTCATTCTAAAGAGGCATAAAATCTCTTCAAGGGTCAAGTGTTAAAATAAATTTAAAAGGACTGGAGATGTACATTACAATTCATTATATCCAAGTGGAGATGTCTCCTCCAAAGCACTAAGAAAAAAGCATTGCCTTTTTTCAGTTTATGGCACATTCAAACTATTTGTGTATTTGATGTATCTACAATCTCTTTACTTATATACTACCTTAAGAACTACAAGCTCTGTTATTGTAATGTCATAGCAATATAATTCATATCTAGCACTTTGATAACTAAAATTTTACTTTGTATACGAATAATTGGCATTCACAATAATATAGAAAGTATTGATTATGCACAAAAAAAGAAGAAAAAGGATAATATCATCTAAAGACCATGCAAAATATGTTGCAAGATCAAGTTCTTAAAAGCCTCTCAGGCTATCATTTCTCTCGTCAATTACTTGGAACGAAAGAATTTGATGTGAGAATTTAAAACGATCCACCCAAAGGATTTCCACTATAACATTATATCGTCCTTTTACACTAGCCTTGAAAACAGAATTGAAGCCATCCACACGCTCCAAAACTAAAACATTCATGCAGCTATTATTTTCCTCCACAACTTGCATTATGTCATAGTCACAGTCTCCAAATCATAACATTTAATATTAAGAGTCAAGTTCCTATACAATGCCCAGATCATTGTTGAATCAAATTAAAAAGTAAAATAGTAAAATCACGATGAGTGGTAAAGTTTATCCATCATCTTAAATAGAGTGATAAATTTGGATTTTATCATGCCTTAAAACCTTTCCAAGATAGGCATTCTTAGCAAAGAATAATATTTGTCCTTGGCTGGATGCAAACATAGGGTTTTAGAAGTCTTCATCTCCATTCTTAAAATGAAACATGTTTTAATTCCAACCAAACATAGGGTTTTAGAAGTCTTCATCTCCATTCCTAAAATGAAACATGTTTTAATTCCAACCATATGATGACTCTAAAAATTTTAACTAACTTTACAAGTTAAGAACAAATGCCACCCTTGGAATGAACACCATTGCTTAACCGTGGAAACCTTCCTAGCAATCCAAAAATGAACTGAAAACAAAAGGTGCAAAAGGAAACATATTTTCCTATCAATTATCTTATAATAGAGCCTAATATTGTTACATAACAAATGCTAATGAAGCTTTCAGATCCAATCAACAACAGAAAAGTATCATTTTCTATTTTCATTATTGATATATTAACTCCTAAATGAAACAAAAGCCTAATATGTTGAAGTACTTCCCAAAATCTATTTGCAATTAGGCAATTAATATAACTTTAAGGACCCAAACTAATCTGCCATGCAAGAGATGATCAAGGCTAACTACCCTAAACATAGTTAATAAAATTATTGAAAGCCCATACCTGATAAATAGATACTTCATACCCCACTTTTAAAAAGATAAAGTTTAATTATAAACCTTAGTAGTGTTAGCAGTCAAATTACTAATTTTTTTAGGCTAACCCATCTTTCCCTTAATGGATGTCATTAACAAGGGCCTTTCATAGTTACTTTTTGAGTAGGAGTTATTAAATGAGAACAACTTTTACTCAAAGAAGGAGAAAATCTTTTTCGTTTCAAAAAAACAAACAAAAATTACGTTTTTGGGTGTTTTAAGAGCTAAGATTTTTAGGTGCTTTAAAAGAGATGCTTTTGAGACATGGAGTTTCCATGTGTGTGTAGATCCTTTAAATTGCCATCTACCTTAGCAAACATGGCGTCTGAATACCTAAAGCCCCGAAACTCAAATGTAAATTTAGCGAGGAGGGGGAAAAGGCAAAAGGATGGGTTAGGTAAGCTTTTTGTCACTTCAACATTATGCCATATCAGCATAATCATGTCACGCTAACAGCATGTCAATTGGTAGTGTCACGTCAATTTAGTCAAATTACCGCATCAACATACTTAATATTTAAATTTAACAGTGTTAAAGTTAAGGATTGAAATTATCAAATCGACTAAGTACAAAGACTCGATTTATACAAATTATTGTATAGGAATTAAATCTATACTTTTGGTAAAGTATAGGGACCAAGTACATAAATTAACCCTTATTTATTTATTCAAAACAATCATTTTTGTAACTATTAACTTCGTAATGGAGGTTTATAGTTGAACATGAAGATGAAGGTTCATTCCAAAAAAAAAAAGCTTGTAAGGGAACTCGATTGATAACAATATTTGCGATGACTATTATATCAGTAGATGCATTACATTCATGGGAGATAGTATATGCATTAACTTAACCTTCCATGTTCATTCCACCTTTATTTGATTGTTGTATTGCCCCAGAAATTAATATACAACTAATGTCATATGCCAAATCCCAACAATTTGGACAGGACAATTTTGCATTCAAGGTTCAAAGAAACATTTCACTTTCTAGTGTTGGAACATGATTTAGTATTCCTTATAAATAATCATCTTTACTCTCCATAACTTGATCGGCCTCTTGAATAGGGTATTCATTTCATGGGAATTCTATTTGTTTTTTGCTTTTTAATATAAAAAAAACCTCTTTTCTCCTGGGCTTTCAAACTTCAAAGCATTCCTTTGGTTATTGAATTAAGCTGGTTTTGCACACTTCAGCTGGCAGCTCAGCTATGTGTTCCAGGTGTCACCCTCCAGTCTTGCCACTCACCTCCCCAGCACATGTATAATTTTTCCGTCAGCTGCCACACATGTTCTTGGACACCTGCCGGTTAACAAGAGGTTATCTTGCACTGGGCTCCATTGAAACGTGGCGATGTCGAATTGCTCGGCACTGCTCTCGAATTGGCCTTGCCTCTCTGTACAATATCCGCCGATGACGTGGAACTGCCCAAGGTGGAAAATTCCCTTGCACTCATCACGCTCTCTTTCCATCTCAGGCAACTGAACCCACATGTTAGCTGCCACGTCATATGCCATTGCTGATTTCAACGCATTTTTGTCGCCATCATGTCCTCCGGCAACGTAGGCCATCCTATCCAAATCCGATGCGCATCCAAAGAATATCCTCCGCACACCTGGCATATCAGCGCCACGCCACCACCTGGCCGATATAAAATTGTAGACATAGACAGCATTCCGGATCTCAAAAGTATCCGGATCTAACCCGCCCATCACGACGAGGTTCGACCCGACTCCGACAACTTGACAAAACATGGGCAGCCCATCAGACAGCCCCGGAACTGATGGCAGCTCACACCAGTCACCGGTATCCGGCTCACAAAGCACGAGGCGATAAACCAGCATGGCCTGGCATTTCAAGCCCAAATTTCCTCTCGGGTTGACTCGGGTTTGGGTCATCACCATCACATGTTTACTACAGCCAGCAGCTTTTCGATGACGAAAAAACTCTGGCAAATGAATTTCAACCTTCCAATCTTTACAGGTTGATGCAATGTTGGAGAAGTTATTGTATGGGGCACGAATCAAACATTCACGGGCAATATCATTAGGAAGACCAGGAATCAGCTCCATCCCGGACATGTAAATCTGTTGAAAAATAAAAGACTAACAAAGAGTGGTTGTTGCAAATGTAAAGGGAAGCAAGGATATGGAGAGAAGCAAGGAAATGAAGTTTTGGGGGGGAGAGAGAGTTAGTTTGGAGGGATTTATAGGAGAGTGGAACCTGTTGCAAGTGTTTAGAGATCATAAAGCTGAAGAAGAGGACAGGCACTGAAGAAGTTTGATGGTATGTCGCAAGAGACAATGGGAGACCATTGGATCATTGGCAGCTGTTGTCTGTATAGTATTTTTTTTTATTATATATGCCTTCAACGGATTCTCTTGGTCGCCGGTTTTGCTTTATTAATTATATCTACTTTATTGCTTTTACATTTCAACGGATTCTCCAGGCTTTTATTTTGACATTTTTTTTTACTCCTGTGTCTGTTATGAATCGCTTTTGCCACTTATATATTAGCTTTGACTTTTTCTAAATTTGTTAAAATGTAAAAATTATATTGCTACATAAATGACAGCAATTTCATGGTCTCCAATTCATATAAACAACAAGAATTTGGTATAATTATAAAATATAAATTTATGTTTGCTTTTTATTTTGAAAAAAAAAACATAATTGGAAATTATAAGCATGTAAATATGTTAGAAATTTATAACTTAGGCAAAAAGATATGTATTGTTTGTATTAACAGCATATAGAGTTGCTGAGCTTCATCTAAAATTACGACCACATACTGGGATTTGCCTACTAAGATTATACTAATAATCTAAAGATTCCAAAGGAGCTGATACCCAGTCTTTACTTTTCAAGTTTATAGCAACATAATGGATCCTTGAGTACTTTGACTGCGTAGAAGTTCTCTGCTGATGATGAAGTTGCCTTCTACGGGCGTTGGAGTGCTTAAATTCACATAAATAAATTTGGTATACACCATATTGCTGCCCTTCTGTGGCAAATTATGAAATCCTACACTTTAAGGAGTTGCATTAGCAAATTAACATTCACTGGAGTGTAACGGTTGATTTCACTATGTTTACACAAGAATTGGGTAATCTGGAGAGCTTCAAATATATTCGTGTTGTTCACTCAAGGAGTTCAAAATATCAGAAATGGTGTAAACGTGGCAACTTCGTCAGGTTTACATCGGAGTTTGCCCCACTCTCTCAGCCTCGACTTTCTCGCTGATGCTAAAACCTTGAGACCTTACCAATTCTTGACTGTAAGTCACTGGAGAGCTTACCACCAATAAGTAAGAGTGAGCAAATACATAGATTCGGTGATTTAGTTTATTATATTTAAAAATTAAATAGATTAATATTTTTAAAAATTGAGAAAATCATCAACATATAAAAAAAAAATCAAATCGATTAAAATAGAATTGGTTGGTTGTTTGAATTTTGACGAATGGATCAAAATTTTATTATTTTTTACATATTATAATTTTAAAATTTATAACCTTCATCATAATATATATATGTATGAAATTAATTATATAACTATATGCTATAATTTTTATATCAAAGTTTATAAATACATAATATATAAACAATAGTTATAAAATCTAAGGTGATCGTAATAAACCTTATTAAGTGTAATATAAAAATTATTATAAGTTAAGTAATGTTTATGTATAAATTATATAAATTAAATATAGCAATATATATAATATTTACTTTAATTATATATATAAATTAAAATGTACAAATTGCTTTTAAAATATTTGTATAATCATATAAATAAAGTCTATTATAGAAATGTAGTAATATTTAGTATAAATTAAATATATGTATATATAATATATGACTTTATTATATATAATATAATTAAAGACATAACTTATATGTTATAATATTTTATATCAAAGTTTGTATAATAAAACTAATTAAAACAATATGTTTAAAAATCAAAGGTGATAACTAAAAAGTTATTAAATATCATATAATATAGTTTATATAAATCATAGTAATCTTATGAATAAATTAATATATGATATATAATATATTATATCAATTTATACATTATATCTTAACAATTTATATTACGAAACATTATTAAATATAATAATTATAACATATTAATATGTAGATATTACATAATATATTATAATATTAAATATAACTTATACATTAAAATATATAACTTGTAATTCATATTAATACATTTATAAATAAATATATATATAATTATATTAATTATATGATTATGATTTATACGTACATATAATACCTATAATTAAATAATATTATTAATTAAGTTTATATCAATTTCTCTTACTAAAAAAAAATATTAATATATATATAATATAATAATATTTAGTTTTTTGGTGAATGGTCTAAAAATTTTAAAAATCAATAACACAAAAAACCAATTGACCAAACATTGTGGATCAATTGATCATATACTCAATTAAACCGAACCTTTTATCAAACGTATTTGATTTTAGTGGATATTGGTCCTGGATTAGTTTGCTCACCTCTAACTAATACATTTCTTGGGCTGAAAACTATTCTTTGACTCGTTGAGAAATCTGGAGATCATTGTCCATTACCCAAGGTGCTTTCCTTCTCTTAAGAGATTGAAGTATCTCATGCTCCTTGTGAGGCAGACTTCCATTTGATTTCAAAACTACAAAAATTCTTACAAAAATTACGAGAGGGAGTGGTGGGATGGTTTGATTTGAATGAGAAGCCTTTAAAGGATGCTTGTCTTTGGAAATATGTATCCACCTCTTCCAAACCCTCAAGGAAAAAGAAGATCAGCTTTCCACCAGCATAATAAGTACATATATTTTTTTGATGAATTTACCTATAATATTTCCTATAAAATGAGAAAATTGATGCGTGCATAATTTTAGCATATCAAAATCAGATGGCTTGGTTTTCACCATCTTGCACAGAAGTAAAAAATCTGAGACTAGAGAGGTTGAGGATATTGGTGTTGTTCACCTTAAGAGTTTAGACAATATTAGAGTAGATACTTGGTAACCAATAGGTAGGTTCACAAGTCAATAATGATAGCTAAGCATAATTATAACTATTTCCAAAAGATATATGTACCTTCATGTCAATTTATTGTTGAGAAATAAAAGACTAAAGATGAGTTGTACTTGTAGAGTTAAACATTGATAAAGTCATCCATACTTGTTCAGTAATCTTTATACAACTAAATTTGGTTTGAATCTAATGAAGACCTTAGCTATTAATGGTGTAATAAGCAAAGAAGATACACCCCTTATTAAGTTTCTCTTTCCTTTTCATATATATGTTTAATACTTTATGAGTTTACTTACGTCACCTTCAAATTAAATCAACCTTCAATTAGCTTAGAGACGACTCTAATAAATTTATTTTTTGTTTTTTTTCGGGTTGATTGGAGCAATAATATTTAGAAATAGTTATTATTATCGATCATTAATTTTTTTTAGAGTTAGCCAAATTTTGAAAATGATTGTATTTTATTTATTTTAATAGATAAGACTTGGAAATATGCAAAGGTACCATCATGGAGGAAAATTGGTAAAAACCCAAGATTAGATATGTTAATGGGTTTTTAGCAGAGTATGATGAGATCCTGATCAAATTTTCTATTGGCTGTTTTCTACAACCACGATTTTAGTTATGATTAAGAAGGTATGAAAGTTTACTATATTGAGGATGGGAATCACTAAACATGGCTTGAAGTTGTAGGTGATTATAGAAGGATGCAAAATTAGTTGATCAATTAAGTAAGGATGACTTTAGATATTTATGTAGACAATTGGACTGTGCTAATGACATGAATTACTACTGCACTTTTTGATTCAATGAAGTTAGTGAAGGTATAAATGAGCTTGATGAAGATGTTTTGTGACTGGTACTAAAGTAATGATGATAATGGAACTCCACACCTTTATTAGAGGATTTCGATAAGATTTGCAAGAGTTAATGTGAATGCTATTAAACAGACAAAAAGGAAAAGGAGTTAATGAAGTGAATGCAAGTGATAGCTATAGCAATGATGTTGAAGTGATTCAAGTGAAGATTATAAGATAGGTAGATGGATTTGAATTGGGCACAATGAAGATACAGATGCAAATGAAAATTGATAATGCTAGGGAAAATTTGAGAGAGTATGTTAAGAGAAAAAACAGTTATGTATTGATGGAGATGATGATGGTCCATATGATGAGATGATACTATTTTGTCTATTGAGATGAGGACAATAAAGATCAAACTTTAAGCTAACTTGATACCGACAAAGTGGATGGTACATGAGTAGTACTTTGATTCATTAGACCCTAGGAGGTTATAGACACTAGTGATGGCTATGATGAAGATGATGTATAAAAGTAAGTCTAGTAATAAATATATAATCAATGGTCCTTTTTGATGATTTTGTGGTTAGACTTAGGTCTAAAAAACCAAAGTTTTTAAAAATGTTCTTTCTAGTTTCAACAAGAAAAAGATCTAAATTTAAGTTCTTCAAGAATGATAAATAAAGGTCAAGAGCTACATGATCTACAAAAACTGTAAGTGGACTATTCTTTAGCTCATGGTGTGCTAGTAACAAGATATACATGGTGAAAACATATGAATTTGAGCACTCATGCTTGCCTACAACAAAGAATAAGAAGTTGATAGCTTTATGATTGGAAGAAGAATGGTGAAGAGATTTATGCCTTTCGTTAAGCCTAGGCAACTAAAGGCACTAATAAGGAAGGATTTAGGAGTAAGGTGTCATTTAGTTGTGCAGAGCAACCAAGCTTGAGGTGATCAAAAAATTTGAAAGAAGTAAAAGAGGATATCTTGTTTTGAATGATTATGTTAAGGAGTTGAAATTAACAAATCCTAAAGATTGTTTTTGTCACATCCACAGAGAGCCTACACCTGATTTGATGCCTATTTTTAAGAAAATTTAATATGTTTTGGAGCTTTAAAACAAGGCTTTTGGAGGGATGTACACATGACGGACTTGATGAGTTTTTTTGAAATGATTGATAAAGGTAATTGCTTGTGCTGTTGGAAGGGATGGGAAAATCAAAATGCCACAATTGCATGGACACTGTGAAAAATGAGAATATGAAAGTTAAACTTGGTTTATAGACAATTATGTACTGATTTTGGCCATAGGGATGGACTTGGGTGGTCACATAATTGATATGCAAAAGGTACAATATTTGCATTTATTATTATTCACTAA